TTCTATCCCTTGTTTGGTTATGAATTTTCTTCCACTCACTGTTGTGAAAGCTATATGGCCTAGTTATTTTCTAATTTTTAAATAACGTGAACTTTTATATTTAGATCCTTTTTGTGATTCATGGCATAAGGTCGTAGAAACACAGAATTTGATAGTTGCAACATACCTCAATGACCATCTATAGCAACTAATATCCAAAAATAATTCCCCTTTAACCTAAGAGGCAGCCCATTTCACTATGTGATGTCTCTAACCGTTAGGGATTTTTTTTTCCTGATATGAAGCCTAAACTTACTTTTGTCATTGCTCTCAATTCTTCCCTTTTAGAGACAGCCGCAGCAAAAGTAATCCCTCTTCTAAAATACAGCCCTCCAGTATTTGAAGACAGCAATTGTGCTTCTCTTCTCTAGGTTAAGTATTCAAAGTTCCTAAAATTTATCCTCATATGCCATGAACCTAAAGCCTTTCACCATCTTGGTGCTTTCCCCTGGATGTACTCCATTTTAATCAATGTCATTTTAAAACTGAATACAATTGCAAAGATGTGGTTTGACAAGTGCAGAGTGTAGAGAGACTATCACCTCCTTATTTCTGGAAGCTAAGTCCCTTTTAATGTAGCCGAAGATCACATTAGCTTTTTTGGCTGCAACATAGCACTGCTGACTCATATTTAGATGCTGTTCTAAATTTAATTTCTAACAAACTGCTTCCCAGTTTTCCCAGAAGTTTTCATCAACATGGGAGTTCTTCCCCTAGTGATTTATGTTCTTTATAAAACCCTGGGCTAATGTTTTTGATTGCTTCTTTTTCTTGATTATCTAGTTTGTCCTGCTGATTTATCTATTTTAAACAGTATCAAGCTGTTTCGATGGCTACCATTTTATGATGTCATTAGAATTACCATTGAATACAATTTTCTAATCTACCTATCCTATCACAACCTCTCTGCTGACCTCTAATCTCAAATCTCCAACTGTCTTTCAGACATCTTGGCCTGGGTGTCTACCACATCAAAATGGAACTCATTATTTTTCCTCCTAAAGCTTCACCCTTTTCTACATTTCTTATTACTACAGAAGACATCATGATTCTCCCAGTTTCTCAGGTTCTGCTGCAGGCCCTCATAATCTCATGCCTGGACTTTTGCAATAGCCTGCTTGTGGCTTTGCCTACCTCAGGTCTTCCCACTGCAGTCCATACCTGGAACACTCTGCCTCCTCATCTCCTTATCTGGCTTCAAGTCTCTACAAAAATCCCATCTTTTACAAGAAGCCTTTCTCAACTCCTCTTAATTATTGTCTTAATTATTTTCTCTGCATATAGATTGTGTATCGTTTTTTCTTTGCTTATTCCTCCCCCGCCCTTCCATCATTATATTGTAAGCTCCATGAAGGCAGGGGCAGTCTTTTGCCTCTTTTTATTTCCTGTTCTTAGCATAGTGCCTGGCACATAGTGGACACTTAATAAATGTTTACAGATCGATTGATTGTAAATCTATCTAAGTCTCTATACTATCACTCCACTTATACTTTTAACCATCGTTTCCTTTGAAATTATAGACCTTTTGTTCTTCCAAATGACTTCTATTTTTGCTTTGTCCAGTTCCATAAATTACTCTCTAGGTAATTTAATTGGTAACATACTAAATACGCAAATTAATTCCAGTAGTATGTAATTTCTATTATATTGATGTAGTCCAACCATGAGCAATGAAGAACTCTATTTATCTCCCTGTATATCTATAAGGAGTGACTAGGATATATATATATATATATATATATATATATATAATATACACACACATATATATGTATATATACATATATATGTATATATATACATATATATGTATATATATACATATATATATGTATAAAATATATACATATGTGTGCATATATATTATATCCCTTATTTATAAGAAGTAAGGCATATTTACATACACCTTGCATATTTGTTGGTAGGTTAATGATCAAATATACATTTTTAATATTTTGGAGAGAGACAGAGAGACAGAAAGACCATAACCACCTCAATTTTATAGACCATGTGGAAGAAATGGCTTCTTTGACATGAATCTATAAGCCTAACTCTCAGTCATCAATCTTTAACCCAAGTTAATGACAGCCAATCAGAAGAGTCTCATGTGTCTACTCAGCAAAGTGTCAGTGTTCATGCCTATCTCCACAGGAGGTGTCCTTTTTGATGCCTTTAGACAAAGGTGCACACACTATAATCTCATCAAATTGATGTCATTCATAAAATTGATCAAAGGCTCACTTCATCAACTTCTTCCTTTCCCTTAACTTGTTCAGTTTGTTAATTTTTTTATTTTTCAAAATGTCGATATCTCTCTGAGGATTATTTTTTTGACCACAAGCTTCACTGTATTTTCTCAGTATTTTCATTCTTGAATATAATTATTGTTTCTATGATCAATTCTTTGGATGACTCATTCAGGTTGTCATTACTTGGTGTCCATTTAGCACTGTATCATTTACTCATGTTTCATTGCTATTTTTTTTTGCCTTCTGATCTATAAAGTGTACTTATTATTTCTGTTTTTCACATGTTTATCAATTTTTTGTACCTTAGCACATGACCAAATTTTGTCAAGTATTTAGGACATGGAAAAAGTATACACACATGCACACATGCATACATATATATATATATATATATATATATATATATATATAATGTGTGTGTGTGTGTGCGCATATGTATATATACATAATTTTCTTACAAAAGTGCCAATTAGTCCAATCCAATTTTTCCAAAAACTCATTCAGTTCTCTGTTTTCATTTTTGTTTATATTTCTTTCACGTTTATCCAGCTTTGAGAAAGGTATATTAAAGTCTCATGCTATTATTGTGTTACTTTTAAAGTAATTTTTGCATATCTCCTAGCTTTTATGTTAATAATTTAATGGTTATGCCATTTGGTGCCTATGCATTTATATCCTTATTTTTTCTTTGTCTATGCTGGCCATCTTTAAATAAAATATATTTTTCCTGTTTGTCTGTGTTGACATTGCTGATTTTTTTTGGTGCTGTATCTCAAACCATCTTTGTAACTCCTTTAAAAAAGTTGCTTAAAGCATAACCTATACCCTCATTTTTACTCTATATGCTTTTGAGTTTTTAAAATGTTTTTTGTATGCATCGATTTAAAAATTGATTTTATACATTCCTTGATTGTTTTTTTTTTATTAGAGAGCTTGCTGTTTCCTCCTCTGTTCTGTTATGTAGTAGCAACAGTTCTTCAGTTCTGTTCCCCTTCCTACATCATAATTTTCCTCCCCTTTGGAATACATATTGCTCCACAATTGTCTTCTTTACTACTTTTCCAGCCTCTGAATCAGTCTAATTCTCAGGCCTCAGCTGTCCTGGCAGTCATGACCATCCTAGAACAATGAAAGAAGTTGTTTAAAGATGCAGCCACCACTGAGAGATTCTGGGCTCACTCCAGATCAGAGGTTTGCTCACAAGAGAGTGGGGAGCACAACCAGGGAGGATATTGTCTTCCCTGAGAATGGGGTGCCCCCTGGAACTTCACCAGAAATTCAACTCTCAGAGTTGTTGTTTAAAAGTGTAGCAGTTGTGGGGGCCACAGGACTTCCTTGAGATGGCATGTTGGCACACTGTGGCAAAGGATGGGTTGGGTTGGAAGGGGCAGGAGCTTCAGTTGTGTCAAATTTAAAATAAGAGGGTAGGATCAAAGGATCTCTAAGGTCCCTTCCAGTTTTAAATCTTTAATCTTATGATAATAAGAAATTCAATGCTTCAAAACATCTTTTTACCATGGATGGTAGTGAAAAAAAAATCACCTTTTAGAACTTTAGTGATTAAATTCTCTAAAATCTACCAGGTTGTTTATTGATACAAAACAGACACTATTTGTTGATAGGCCTATTGGCATGACTTGGAGAACCCAGGGTCATCTCCCTCTTGGTATCAGAGTAGAACTTTCCCGGAGGATTGTTAAATATGTGCAACTAATTATAATATAAGGGAGACAGTGGGTTACAATGGAAAGAACAGTGGCCTAGGTAGAAACTAAAAATCTGGGCTCCATTACCAGCTTTGCTATTTATTGATCTTAAAGTCTTAGGCACTTATTGAATCTCTCCAGGCCTCAGTTTCCTCATCTCTTTAGAACTGAATGATATGGTCATAAAGTGCTTTAAAAGTTTCTCAACAGTAAATGATGGATTGGGAGACTTCTGATGTACCTTTGAGCTCCTAGGTATGCCTTTCCCATCTTACCCTCTTCATAACAACCATGAGGTGGGTTGTTGAAGAGATAGCAGTGTCATAGTGAAAAGTCTGAGTACAAATTCCATTTCTGCTAATTAACAACAAGAGAAAATGACTTCTCAGCCTCAGTTTTCTCATTTGGAGAATGGAGAGGTAACAATCCTTGTGCTTCTCTATCTCAGAGAGCTGTTATATGTTTAAAATGATATAATGTTTGAAAAGAATTGTGTCAGCTGTCATTATTACAGCATCCTGCCTTGGTAACTAAATGATGTCTAAGGTTCTTTTCACGCCTTCTGATAATTCAGCCATATGAACTTGTGTAATATCCTCATCTCTGTTATATCCAGCCGAGAATGAAAAAGTATTACTCAGAATTCAATGCCAGAATCACCTATTAAGCCTGCAAGGAGGATTCTGTAGAATTTGTACCAGCTGTGAAGATCTTTTAGCACCTCAGCTTTCCTCAGGGATGCTTGTCTGGATCAGTCTATGCTGAAGGGTTCTCAGCGTCTTGCTCAGGGTGATGGAACTAGACTAGACTCTTGCCTCTTCAATCTGTGTTTCCAGGATTTGACATCTTCATGTGCTCAGGCATATTCCTTAAATAGCAAATGTCTTCAGACAGCGGTCTGAACAGAAAAGGTTGGCATCATTGTGTAAACTTGACTTGTGAAGTCACAATGCTTCTTGTTGTTGTCATTTATGAACCAGAGCAATATGCTCCTTCGACAGTTGCTTTCCAAAGATGCCATCCAGTTGGCTTTTCCCTGCATTTGCAGAGAAATGCCTTTGAATCAGTCATAATGTTCTGTAGCAGCTGTAAGATCTAGTGCTGGAAAGTGTCTTATAGAATCTCATCTATAATGGGATGATAACACCTGCTCTTACCTACCTTGTAGGTATGTATTGAGTTTCTTATGGGATAGAAATCATCTAGTACTTTGCAGACTTTGAGGCACTATGTAAATGTGTGCCATTATCATTAGTCCAACCCTCCTCTTTTACAGATGAAGGAATTGAAAGCTTGAAAGTTCAAGTGACTTGTTAAACATTACATAGGAAGTAAGTAGGAAGTTAGGGTAGGGCTTTTGGCTCCGGGTTCAGTTCTTTTTCATACAATGCTGCTTCCAATCTTGTGACTGGGAAAATTAACCAGCAGAGTTTTAGTTAGAAGGTAGGAATAGGGATAATATTGATGACTTTCAGCAAAATTGTGGCACATCTCATTTTCCCAGCTTTTTCTCATGCTGTGCACCATTAGTATTCATATTCTATGGGATAATCAGTGAATGGCTCAAGTGCATGGTTCTGATAGCCTTTGATGCTTTTTATTACAGAGCACTGTAGCTGAAGAATGAAGATTCTTCATAATTTAGTTAAGATGCTCACTTACCGTGTCTGTGTGATGATAAAATTGTCAGTCAATTCAGTTCGAAAAAAAAAATCAATCAAATCTAAATAGAGCACTTCATTGATTAGATGAATTTTTTACTTTTCACCTAGCCTTTGTGATCCAAGGCTGTGTCCATCTGATGCAATAATGACATATTAAAAGGTGAAAAAAATTCCCTAAACCAAACTTCCTTCCTCACCAAATAGCTTTTTTGTTTCGTTTTGTAAGGCAGTTGGGGTTAAGTGACTTGCCCAGGGTCACACAGCAAGTAAGTGTCAAGTATTTGGTATGAGGCCAGATTTGAACTCAGGTACTCCTGACTTCAGGGCTGGTGCTCTATCCACTGCGCCACCTAGCTTCCCCCGTCACCAAGTAGTTAAAAGGCATTTGAGATCATGGAGCAAAAAACAAAACAAAACAAAACAAAAAAACCCCAAACCAAAAAAACCCCACCCAATTACCTGACTAAACCTCTCTGTTTTCTTTTCTTTTTTAAAAAATTCCCTTCATTCAAAACAGTCTCTGTGAAGACTGCCATAGAATAAAGGGAAGAAAATAACATAGTAAAAAAAGGTGATTTTCATTCCAAGAGAGAACTCCAACTCTGTAGAAATTATGACTGATGTTGTAATGGGATCAAAGAGCATTTAATTAATTGAGAGCTTATAGAAACCAGCACTTACTGGTTTTGTGTCAACTGAGAATGACCAGCAGTATTTCTTTTGATATGAAAGGTATCATTTCTTAGGTTAAAATTCTAAGTTCCCTGAAATTCATGCTAACTCCGAACCTAAAAGCATCATGGGTTTGCCATTCCCTGTCACAATACCCAAAGATTCAGAATGACACACACACCTTCTTTGTACCCTTTCTAATAGCTCATCAAAAATGATCTAATTACAAAAAGGCCCTACCAGGGGAGGATCAGAAAGATACCAGGGAATCCAGAAAAGAAAAGATGGATAGCAATATGAAGTGTTCTTAAAATTTTGGGGACATAATTATTATATTTTCTTTCAGTAAATTTCCTTAACTACTGTTTAAGAAAGCCTAAATTATACTACAAACTAAATAGTTTGAGCACGGGGATATTTTCTTATCTGGGTTAAACCATGCAAATATGTACAATACATGCATGCAAATATATACAATACGTAAACATAATGCAATATATAAATATATGCAAAGATACAAAATACATTGCCAACACACATGTACATACATAATATATACAAAGAAAATGAACTTTTCTTTCCCATCTGGCCTCATATTGACCTGACTGATTATTGTACTGGTATGCATTTGCATTCTGAACACAGTGACTTCCATAAAGAAGAAAATGCTCCTCTGCTGTTGAGACTGGCTACTTTAGGTCAGTAGCACCACCCAGAGTTTAAACTGGGAACTCCTTTCAAACTGCAACTGTTTTGAAAACCCTAAAAACCTACACTAAGAACACAAAACCTGACTCTTTCCAGAATCTTCCACACTGGCAATGTTTCATATGAGAAAATATCTGTTTACTTTTTGACTTTTTATATCAAAGACAAGATCATTGCTTAGAACATGGCAACAGCTTGCATTTTTGCTATTCACTGCTCCTGTCGACTCAGTTTAAATTTAGACAACTCATTACTATTTTTTCTATGATAATATAAGGGGTAGTGTTGTTTAGAGAACTAGATCTGCAGTCAGAAACCAGGTTCCAAATCCTATTTCTCATATTAATTATGTTTTGTGGGCAAATCACTTAATCCTTATAAGCCTTAGGCCACTCTCTACTATTATGTGGTATAGATGAGTTGTCAGCCACCATTTGTTAAGCTATTCAGGTACCAGGCACTGTGTTCAGCACTAGAGATACAATGAAAGGCAAAAAACTGGTCCATGCTTTCAAGAATCTCACATTCTAATTCTGGAGGCAATAAGCAAACAGCTATGTACATTCAAGATATAGGCAATATAAACAGAAAGTAATCTCAAAGGGAAGACTCTATGGAATGACTCTTGTGGAATATGGGATTTGAATCTTTTACTGACTTATTTTAATTTTATTTTTTCTAAATTTCATGTAAATGAAAAAATTTAACTTTCATTTAAAAAAAATTGAGTTCCAAATTTTGAATTGAATCCTGAAAGATGCCAGGGAAATTAGGAGGTAGACATGAGGAGGGGGAGCACTGCAGTCACAGGGAACATGCAGTGCAAAGTCACGGAGGCTGGAGATTAGAGTATTGTGTGAAGAACAGCAAACAAGCCAGTTTAGCGGGATTTTAACATGCATAGATGAAGTGTATGATTAAAAAGCATGTGTTTGGAAAGGTTGTAAAATTCTTTGAGCGCTTTCCTTTTAAGATGATTTTTCATTATACTGTAGATATCTTGAGTATATAGTCGTTTGTCTGCTGTCTCTTCTGTTACAATGTGAACTCCTCAAGAGCAGGAACCATGTTTTGCCTTTCTTTGTATTCGCAGTACTTAGTAAATTCTTACTTATTGACTGACTAGCAACTTGTCTATATGTGGGTTTCCAAAAGCCTTAACGTAGTTTTGAGCTTTAAAACCACACTAAGATTTTTGGAACACCCTGTATATTTGGTCCTGGATGTAATAGGGAACTATTGTACTTTGTGGAATGGGGGAGTTGGTTGGCATCACCACTTTCCTGCAGTAAAGAAAATAATGGTTGCTTGACAATGTATGACAACAAACACACAGACTAGGAGTGGGGGTTGACTCCCAGTTTCTACTAGCTGTTGAAATGCCAGAACTCCTGGAATCTTAGCATCAGTAAAGCTGAACCCGCAATAGAATTACATAGCTTTGCCCTAGAAAGACAGACATTTAATAGGATTAAATATTTACTATAGAACTATAGTAGAATTCTTGGCTCAAAATGGAGATGGGTGTGGTTTATAGGTATGTGTGCACATGTGTATATGTACATGCATGTATGTACACACATGTGTATATGTACACACACGTGTATATGTACACATATGTGTATATACCAACATATCTATCCATATACCAAACACATAAAACATGGATCATGAGTGAAATTCTTAGCCCAACAACATAGAAATATATGAATAATGAATTTCAGGTGATTAAAAATACAAATCCCTAACAGTACTCCTAAGAATAGAAAACATACAACTATTTTTATAAAGAGAATTATAGAGTCTGGCAGTTGATAACTGTCTTAAGCCCAAGGGGAATCCTAGCACGTCTAGGAGGAGGAAAGGGAAGGGGAGAAAGCAGTGTGTGTGTGTGTGTGTGTGTGTGTGTGTGTGTGTGTGTGAGAGAGAGAGAGAGAGAGAGAGAGAGAGAGAGAGAGAGAGAGACAGACAGACAGACAGAGACAGACAGACAGAGATGGAGACAGAGATGGAGACAGAGACAGACAGAGACAGACAGACAGAGAGAGAGAAAGGAAGGAGAAGAAAGAAACAGAAACTAACAGAGACAAAAAGAGAAAATAAAAGAGAGAGGAAGAGAAGGAGGAGGGAGAAGTAGGAGCAGAACCATTAGGCTCCCTCAGTGACCTACAGACAGGAATAGAACAGGAAAGGTCAAGGACCCAAACTCTAGATTCCCGATCTACTACTTCCAATGAAGCTATATCCCATGCTCAGTCACATTTATCTCTTCTCAGCTTCTTTGCTGAGAGGTAATACAATGCATAGTCTCACTGAAAGCTCAGTTTGGAAAGTGAACAGATTTAAGTACCTCCTCAGGGTTCACAATATTGAATCAAGAGAATGCTGCCCTATGTCTTTCAACAATAAGAAGCCTCCCCCGCTCATCCGTGGTCTACGGGGGCACAATGGACTGGCAGAATCTAGGAGGGAGAGGGGCAGGCTCATCCATTTTTCTCATTTCCATTCAAACTATAGAATATCATTTATCAGTTGTGACATTACAAAGGTATATTGGAGATAGGGACACTTTGTAATATTCTTTCTTCATGGGATGACTCTGCCCATCTTTATACCTACCACATTATCAAAAAAAATGGAAGGAACTAAGGACACCTATAACAATCCATAAAGATATGTTATAATATTCTCAGCTGAAAAGGCCTGCATCTATCCTGAAAAGGATAGATGAAGATAAATGCTTTTTTGAAGTTAAGAGTAAACTATAAATTTAGATTCAATTCCACTTACCTAATTCAGCCTCTAAACAGACTCTAAATTTAGCTGTTAAACTTCTAAGATCATAAAATCACAGATTCATATCTAGAAGAAACCTTAACTATCAAGGAATGCAAGCCACTCATTTTATGGATGTGGAAATTGAAGCTCAGTTTCTGTTAACGTTGCTTGGCCATGGTGGAAGAGCAAATATTTGAACCTGCTTCCTTTGACTCCAAATCCCAACCCAACCCTCTTTATTAAAAAATGTGTAATTGATTCCTTGTCACTGGATTTTGTGGACCATTAATGGGTTGTGGGTGTGACATGTGGGGTGCAAAGTAAAGGGGTGAACTGGGGCTATGTTCAAAATTAAATTCATTCATTTTAACCTGCTCCATCAACTTCACTTATATAGCTCCATATGACCAGATATCTTGTTCCTTCTTACTTTGTCTAGCATTATGAAGACTTGAAGTTCATATTTTTATAACACAAATTCCTTTTTCTAGACAGCAGACTTTCACATATTATAAAAAATTTCCATCATTGTAACTGATAACTTCTTTCCACTTTTTTATTTTTGCAGCTCATCCAGTAAACGTATTACCATCCACATTAACGACGTCGAAAGTAGCCTACTTTAAGAGGAAATATGCAGAAGAAGAAGATTTACATCAAGATTACAATGGGTATTTTCCAAAAGTAAGTTATTTCCTGCATTTGCTCATCTGCCTTGGTTGGTAGGGGGAGTTTCTTCAATGGGAGCTCCTTACACAGACTAAAGCAGTGTTTATTTTCTTTCAAAGCTATTTCTTATTTACGTTGTCCTCAGAAGGAAAACCTGAGTGCTCCCTCTTCCAAGATAAAAATTACATTGATTGTTTTGTCCTTGCAGCACCTGATATTACCAGAAGACCGGACCTGCATTCTTAAACTTTCACTAGAGAAGCTCAGGTTTCTTGAAGACCCTGAAACCTATCTTCGAAGGTCTGTGCTGATCAACAATTTGTTGAGGAAGATCCACCTGGAGGCGGAGAAAGAGAGTTATGAATACTTTAAGGAAGCTCCCTGTTATAGGACTGCTTATTCTGATACAAGAAAACGGCTGAAGTTTATGGTACAAGAATGCTGCTCTCAGTCACTCTATTATGAAGAGCTGCATTCGTACCATATTGTGCCTTATTCTGCGGAGAATGCCATTTATGGAATGGGCTACACTAGCAGCCACTTGGAGCAAAATTCTCAGTTGCTTATTTATAAAATGAATTAAAGCAACTGTTAGGTTGATTTCCTATTTTTGTTTCTAAATGCTTGAACTGTTTTGAAATGAACAGGGTGCACTGACTGCTCAGTGCATTTAGGATCAAAGCTGAGATGCACTTTGAACTGAATGGAAGAGTACTTTGATTAATATTTAGCAGTCCTTAGTATCATCATATCAAATCAAAATTATGTCCATACATTCTAAAGTTTGAAGATAAAGTGCTTTTGGACACTGAGATCTCTTTTAAGATATGGTTTCTAATGTAAAATTGTTCATGCAGATTTTTAGACATTTTCATCTATATTTGTTATACCACCATGGGTGGAGAATAAAAAAAACTGAAAAAAGGAACAAATTCACCTGACAGTGTAGTCTCAATGGGGATAATGTATGGTTTGAATTTAACATCCTTTAAAAGATGAGAAAGTGGGAAGGTACTTTCAGAAATGCTTCATGTGTTTCTAAGCATTTGTGCCAAAGCATTTGCTGGGCACAATTCTCAGCCCCAAGAGCTAGAATTCAAAATGGGGCAGCAGATCCTGTAAATTCAGAATAAAACAGATTTTTTCGGGGGGAAAGAGACTTTAAATGGCTCCACTAAATTGTGCTCAGTTTTACTCATCTCATGGCTTAGTAGCCTTTGTTGCTGAGCAGTAAAATGTAGTGAACCCTATGTCTGGGTCTTGTTACCAGTCACAGTTTGTGGTGGGTCACTACTAAATAGGGATAATTTTATTTAATTTATTTAGTCATCTATGTTGTAGGCTGTGGAGCCTGGGGAAAGGGTGGGTGGGCAAACTTTTTCACAAACTGAAAATTAGTTGTTTTTTTTTTTCTTGTAGTTATCAAGGCTGGAATAAATCAGCAGATACGCTAAGATATTCTTGCTTTGACCATTTCTAAGTGTGTTCCAGACCACACAGTTTCAATTTTGCACTGGTCTTAGAATTAATCTCAAGCACTAATTGACACAGAGTTTCAGAGTGCTATTGGCATAACAGTTTAGGTAATCGTGTTTTGAAATGTGAAAGATGTTTATTTAATATATTAGATAGAGTTGTTAAATTGTTTGAGGTATTTTATATCATTTGAGATTTGAGCGTGATGTCCATCTTCAGTTTTTGGAATTTTGTCTTATCAAGCATGTTATGTAAAAAGGGTAATAAAGTGATCAAGTAGATTCGGAAAACTAGTTGCCAAAGGTATACCCAGAACAAACCAAAGACTAGTGTTAATGAGGCTGTGGCACTGGAAAGAAGAGTTGGAGATGAGGATTGCTTAGTAATGAAGAACAACACTCCTGATGCTTCTGCAACCTTGGTGTTTACTAATGTATTTGTTGATCATTTTTGGGACTCTTTACACAGAACAATAGAATGGTCAAAGGCCTTGCTTTAGGTGACAGATTACAAACCTTCAGTGATCATACTCCATCATTGGTGAAAAGGTGATGGTTTGTTATCATATGGTCCTGATGCTGAAAACAGACGCTTCACTCAGAAAATGATTTTCTGTTTGAGAGATGTGTAGCTTCTGACTTGACTCATGTTGTTTGTGCCCTATTGTGAACTATCACCATGTTGATCATGGGTGCACTTGGTATCAAGGATTATAAAATCTTAATTAGAATGCTTGGCATCAGATTGCAAAGACCTAATAGTGGACTTTGCCAGGTGTGTATTTAATGGTACTATCAAACCCAGGACAAAAGCATTATAGCAAAATGAAAAATAAGAATTGAGGTTAATGTCCATGCAATGTAAGTTGAATGAAAAAATAGGAAAAAAAACACCCCTAAACATCTGGGAACCAAATTTAGTCTAGAAGTTCAAAAAACCTTAAAACCTGCCTTTTGTCCCTATGCCAAGAAAGTTAGCTCTCATTTCCCACAACAGCTCTTTTATCAGTTAGAGTTCATAAAGCCTGATTATATCTATTACAAAGGCTATGAATGTAAGAGAAGAAACAGAAAAAGGAATTTTCCCAGCTAGTTAGTAATGGGGGATTTTCAGATTTGTACTGGAAAAGGTAATATATTTGGCTTGTGGACAAAGCTGCATTAATTTGCCTTTAAGAGAAAACCTAATGATATTAGATAATGCAAGTATCGATGTATTTTCTTGAAATCAGGGTAAATGTGGATAATATATTTATCTTGGGAAAAATTAGCATAGAAAAGGTGAAGAACTTTTGTATTAAATGTACATGAATGAGTTGCTGGTGAAATCAGCTACTCTACGTGGCAGAGAAACAGAAAAATCTGTCTCATTTGATCTCGCATCATTTAAAGAGCTTGCTAATCTATTAATGCATACAAAAAAAGAGGTTGTTCAGTTGTGTCTGACTCTTCATTTTCCCACTTGGGGTTTTCTTGGCAAAGACACTGAAGTGGTTTACCATTTCCTTCTCCAGTTCGTTTTACAGATGAGGAAACTAAGGCAAACAAGGTTAAGTGACTGTCCAGAGTCAAACAGCTAGTAAGTATCTGGGACCATATTTGAAATCAGACCTTCCTGACTCCAGGCTGGTGCTCTCTATCTACTGTACCACCTAGCTGCCCCTATGAAGAGAGGTACTAATGCCTAAAAATGACCAACTCTTTGAAAATATGTTAAAATATTTCCTTAAAAAACTACAAATAAAAAATGTAAAGGCTATTTAAGGTAATAATTCATTTATTTAGGGCATTTATACTTTTTCATAAAGTTATAATAATAGTTCTTTGATAAGGAGCTTCACATTAACTTGAACACCTGTAGAAATATATCAGAACTATGAAACCTCTATTCTTCTGAGTTAAGAAACAAGATTAAGGAAAATGAACTAGGGTAGCATTAACTACACTTCCTGTTCTTCCCTTTATCTGTTCCAATTGTCTCCTTTCCTTCATGGACATGGCCTTTTGAAACTTTTCAGTAGAATGCAGAAAGCTATTCTAGATAAGCAAACATGAGTATCACTGATAGGATTGAGTAATACCTGTGGATGCCACTAGCAGGCTGGAGGCTTGGTAAGAAATGGGCTAAAAAAGAGGGAAGTAAAGAAAGGCAAATGGAGAAGAGTAAGGAAAAGTGAAATCAGGAGGGGGAGAAAGGTTAGAGAAAGAAAAGAAAGAGGTGATTCTTTTCAGGATTGTTTGACTGCCACCAACAGCTGGCATCTGAGCCTTTGGCTGTCCGTTCCATCCAAAGAACTCATTCATCTCCTTAGTCCATTGCTTTGCATTCACCAAGCATGCTGGATTGTGTTTAGTCCATATTCAATTGAACAATTTATGTGCTAAATTTTTAAATCTTCCTCTGTCTAAATAGTCTGTTGGGGGCATGGCTGAAGATGAAAAGATGTGATGAATGGGTGATGGATAGACTGAGCAAAAGGCATTCGTATGGATGGGTCAGCCAAATAATCTACATCTGGTCTCAAATCACATTGTAGAATTTTACAAAATGAGCCCCACTGCACCAAGAAATGAAGGATGTTTCAAAGGTAAGGGCCTGTTAGCTGGGAGCCTAGGCTTTTCCCGCCATTCAAACCTGGGAAGGCTTAATAGGTTTATGTCTCTGTGCCTCTGTAGGCTGTTGTGAAGCGAGAATCTCAGAGCCTAATGAATGCATCAGAAGCTAAGCACTGATGCTTTTTGAGATTGAGTTCATATTTTGTCTTTAGGAATTAATTGGTATAGAACCAGGGTGTAGAAACCCTGGGGCAAATCACACTGTCCCTCTCCCTTCATCCTTCTTCACTGTTTCCCTGCCTCATACCGGCAAAATCAGCATGAACAAAGATGGTTGTAAAAGGGGCAAAAGTCACAAAAGAGTAACAGCCTGAGGACTGTGTCAGAAAAAGGCAGGCAGAGTGAGTCTTATCCTATTTGTCTTGGTGAGGTATCAGGATAGTTGATGGTCAGAATATGAGTGTCTTTATCACTTGCTGACAGTATGTTATATAAGCCTCAGGTCTTTTTTTTTTTTAAAGTACCAGCTGAAGGAGTCACTTTTTCCCCCTCCCCCACTGGCTCCCTGAATCGTTGAATGCTCTCCAGCACTGCAGCAATGTGAATTTGGGAGAGGCTTCAATTCCTGGGGCCAGGATGGTCACTCTGACTTGCTGCACCTTAGGATGGAGCGAGTAGTTATGAGAAAACTAAGCGGAAGCTTTACCCTACTGCACCAGCTGAACTTTCTCTGGAAAGAGGGTTTTTAAGAGTAGGGCCAATTAGTATTCATTGCTGCAATCTGCTCATTCCTGGAGTGATCTAGTGCTTATTGAAACAATAGTTCTCAGTCTTCTTTAAAGAACTTTATAAAAAATGTTAATTTCATTTTGGGACTTAGAGGCTTACTACAATGTGACATAATACTTTGCAGTTATCTTCATTTTATTAAATATTTAAGGGAAAGTATTATCATTTGAAAAAAAATAGAAACTTTTCGATGAGCTTTCAGAAAGTAGGATCTAATGCAAATAAGTGTTCTTAATTGACTGAAAGCTTATGGTGTATATAGTTATATATGTCAATGTAATAAATTCCCCTCTTCAAATTTCATTGATAGACATCAGGCATATGGTTTTGGTTTTGTTTGCTTGTTTCTTTTCCTTGAGGACCCTTTCTCAACTGCAGCAGTCTATGTGGGGCTGAAAACTCTGGTCTGAGCTCTCATGTTAACAAAATTATCTTTCTATGATGATGGACAGTAGGTGGTGGCTCCTAACATAAAGAACTTTCCAACCAGAAATATCCACAGCAGGACATAGTTTTCTTTTTAGTCTTGAAAAAAAAAAACCTTTTTCTTTGCAACACGACTCTTTCTACTCCTTAAAAAGAAGATATTCGATTTAAGCAGACAAGAAATTAGGGTAAAACATTAAATTAGGGTTACATAAAATGACATGATGCTAATTTTCCAAACTAGCTGAAAATCCTCTCCTCTTGGAAGGATGTTGTAAAGTTTTATATGTTAGATGGGAAATGGTGAAATTACATAAACAAATTACATGAAATTATCTAAAATTACATGTAATTTTAAGTTTATTTTTATCAAGTATGAGAAAAGCATATCTATGTATATATGTCATATATATATATATGGAGTTCCCATTCTTAAAAGTTTAGGAAATGGTCATGTGGCCACTTATTTTCTTGTTTTCTTCCCCTATCGCATGGGACAGCCTCAGAGCTGGGAGGTCCATTAGGTAAGCACAGAGTCAGGTCATGGTTAGCAAGAATTGGATAATTTCAAGCTTGGCTACATCTAGGAAAGACTTGAAAGACATTAGACATTAAACTTAAATCTCTAACTTACTTTGCTGGCTGCACACTGCAGTAAACCCACATGTGAAATGATGAGGAAAGAAACTTACTTACCGCTTTTTTCAGGGAACTCTCTACAATCTGTGATCTTGTCAAAGATCTCTTGGGTGTACTCAATTGTAAAGTTTTATTCAGGCAGCGGGATGACTAGTGTAAATGAGAGAGAGTCACATGCATTTTTTAAATTGACGCATGCCAAGTGATTTCTTGTCAGGGTATCTCTAGGTCTTACATAGTTGGTATAGCTATCGTGAAATATGTCATCATTAATTTGTCATAAACCACTGATGAAAGAAAAGGCAGAACACTTACATTTATGTAAATGCACTCAAATGTCAAACAGATGGTGTTCTACAACATTTATTTGGAGAATATATACATCTGCTATATAATCGGAAATATGCTTTTTCACATTTTAAAATATCTTGGTTATGATTAAAATTTTTATTGGATTGTTTTCTAAATGAAGAGAG